GAAATAAATTTTAGTGAATTACGAACCTCTTTAGTAAAACTTGTGAGGACGGGGAGCTTCCACCAGGGGGGTCTTGTCAAGGACGTTCCGATAGGTTGTCGGAAGCAAAGGTGAAAGGCAGAAGCCGTCGAGCCTCCAGGCTCTTTGCTTTTCTAAATCTGCTTGCTGTTGCCAGGGGGGCAAGCCGTTGACCTTAGCGTCGTCGTCCTGATCGACCCATCAAAGTCTCCAGCCCCAAAGGCGCTGCTCGCTTTTCCGGAAACAGCTTTCTTCGTCTTCTGGTGCTCTTCTCCCACGGAGCGGCCGTCCACCTTTCCTGTCTCTATGCTGCTCGCTGCGAGTGCACCGGGCACCGCGCGCAGGGTTTCCTCCGGTGTTGTTGCGGTGTCCAACTCCGGCTCTCTCCGAGGAGCTGGTCATATTTCAGCAAGTGGCTGCCTGGATGGGCTGGTCTCGGCCATTTTCAGCTCGTCCATAACGTCGCCAAACTCAGCGGTGTTCCGGGCCACTGCCCGGGGCACCCAAGTCGTGCTCGCGTAGGTGGGGAGGCAGGCGTCGGCGCTTTGACCAGAACCTCGGTATCTGGCATACCAAAGCGTCTCTATCTGTCGGCGCATATGTCCCACCTGCCTACAGAGGAGTCAGGTTGATGGTCGGTTGTGTACAGACACAAGCACATCCACACCAAGAAGGCAGGGCTGCTGTAGGAAGGCGTTAACCTAACTCGCTTGTCAAGCATTACTTCCACCGTCCCTGTTGCCGACTCAAAGTTTCCATAGTCGGGCTTCCTGCATCTATTCATGACGGCGCTCTTCTCATCGCCAAAAGAGGCGAAGGCCTTTGCTACGGCTTCATCAGTATATGCAATCCTGTGAACCCGAACCTCCGTTTGAGGGCCGTTAGGGTTGATTGTTATTTTCCACTGGCTCCAAACGGCCTCCTTAACTTCCCCACTTTGAAGCGTTATTAGCCCGACGTCGTTATAACAGAATCACATTATAGCGGTGATATTTTACTTCCCAGTAGCATTCTTCAAAACTTCTTCGAAATCGTCGATTCGGTAGGACTTCGTAATATGGTCGCAGTGAAGAAGAACCGTATTAGCAATGTTCTCACCCGTTGGTAGCTGCGGCAGCACCATGCTGTATCTTCCTTTCCCGAACAATGAAAGGTGGGTGGCCTCAGCCGACGACGCCACTCCATTTACGTTTATTTTGCAAAGCTCAATTAGGCATCCGTAACTTGGCGCAGTTTCTTAGATGCAGGAACATAACTGAAAGTTCATATCTGCTGTTTGTTTTGTGTGTGAAAAGTTGGTCCTATCTTAATATGCACTCTAAAGCTTTCGATAATATGCAGTTTTAAACATTAGCAAAAAACTTGATTGTTTCAATTTTAGATTAGGAACTTTTTTACAGTTATAATGAACTTATAAATAAGGGCTGACTCTCATTTTATATATCACTTTCAAAACTTTACAGAACTGTTCACGTGGAGTATACACAACGGACATTCGATATATTCTATACGGCATCAGTTGGTTCCAATACTTCGTTACTGGATAAAATAAAGCGACGTAGTTTGACGAACTGATCAACCTTTCAAGGTAAGACACCCATTGTTTAACCGCATGTGTTCAAGGGTCATAATTGAGTGCTTACAGCGATCACTGGTCCTTCAATCGCATGAAACCAACATTAACGTTACCAAAAAATACAATCTATTCATATCATTTGGATTAAAAAACCCGCCTTCAGTGCCAAATTGTCCCTGAGCGGAAGAGAACGCATGCGCATTGCGATGTTCGACCTTTAGTTCTGCGCCGAGGGAGTAGGCAGCCGACGACGGAATAATATACCTAATTCACCAAGTCAGCAGAGACGGCTGTCTCCGCTGTTCGACAAGTTTCCACAAATATTGATGGCGGCAGAAACCCACACGACCATAATTAGAAGCTAAATATAACACCAAGGTTCTTCGTGTCCTGCTGTCTTAACTACGCAATATCTGTCGGCAGCAAGTGTATTCTAGCTTCGTAGAGTAGCATGCATTTTGCAGTACATTATTTGCATCCGCTCTCATCTATAAAGGCCAAACCAAATATTTTAACGTAAAACGCATCACTGCAATATTTACCAAATAAGCCAACTCATTGAATGGCGTAAAAATACTGTAGCTCAGTGCAATATCTGAGTTGAAACTTTCAGAATAAGACTTCAATTACGCGGCGACCCGACCAGAACGAGAATTACAATGCCTTCTGCTTGTTCCATTTCAAAAAAGTAAACGCTGAAGAGGAGGTGTGTTCCTCTCCTCCTCTCCAGCACTCGTACTGCCAAAGTTGAACAAGTAGAGGGCTTTGTGGGGGGAGCTTACCTTGGACAATAAACCTGTCACTGGCTTTAATATGCATCTCCTTTCTCTGGAGTAGGCCCTGTACTACACTGAATCTGTGATTGGCTTTGTTTTTGCAAAATATCAAGTGAGCAAATACCCATGTTAAAATGACGTGTCTTAGATTTAACAAACAATCTGTTCCTGGTATTTCCCTTTTCTACTTTCAGACATCATGGTATTAGTGCTTAATGCATATTAAGTCCCGCCTTCCAGCAAGCTGCGCGGCATTTTCTTAAAGCTACCATCACTGAAGACGACACTTGTAACTGAATTGTTTTTCGTGTGCCAAAGGAGGGAGACAAGGGATCGAGAGCTGCACAATCACGCTGAAAGCAGCTCCAGAAATCTGTATAAAAACAAGCAGACCACCAGCAACCCGCGCTCCTGTGCATGTGCCGAATCTGATTCGGTTTGTGGCGTACCGAAGTATCGCCTGCTGATATTCGTTTTCGCTTGCAACTTAGTGTTTTTAGAGCAGTCTGCTTATATACGCTGAATTATCTTGACACTGGGTTTTAACCACATAAAAGCAATATTATCAAACTTCGCGTTTTGAAATTTAGCAAGGTTTTCGAATACGTCATCCAGACTAAATTTCGCAGAAGGGGCTAAATTGGTTAATTTACCGGTGAGTGTAAGTGCTCCAAACAAACCGTTACTACTGGCATTGCTAAGGACGAATACATGTGATAGGATCTCGCTTTGAAAGAACGGTCGATTAATCATCGGACTTGCAATTTAACCATACACAAACAATAGATATACCACACCGTGAGTTTGCCAAGAACCGCCTGTTTTTGAAATATTTGCGACGAAATCTTTTGGTCACCGTGATATCTCGGGATGAATCCAGCAGACGACGAACGCATGCGGAATGACTGAAGTATTCGCTATGCACCAGTTTGAGTCGTTTGTTTAATCGAACGATTTTGATCCTATTACATGTGGAAACCTAGCACGCATATTAAAATTCGTCAGGTTTCAAAAGAGATATTGCATTTGCGTTCGATACGGAATACTGTCTGACAAAATCATCACAAATAAGCAGATCTTCAAAAGTACACTGAGAGAAGCATCTCTTTAGTATATGATATCCGAGTAGCGTCAGGGCCATTTTTTTTTTCCAGTATAATGAAGTAACAATTATTTTCGCTCTTACATAAGCCGCTCGATCCCAGAATATCATTTGCGGGCTCGGAATATATTAGTGCGTTTTGTATTTGCTTGTAACAATCACAGTGAGAAGAAAACCTGCTGACTCTTTCGCTTTTTTCAAGATATCAAATAGCAAAAAAAACTGCGTAAAATCGTCAACTACATTTATGGCTTACACACAGTTTGTTTGATCACACAAACGTGCATTGAATCAACTTATGTGCAGACATAACGTTTCTTTTAAAAACACGTGCTGGCCTGTACGTTCACATTAATACAGTTAACTTCGTCGTTGTAACTTGTTATTATACATGATTCGGCTTCGCAGTGGTTTACCCCTTCTCAATCATGGCAGAAGTCTCTACTGGCAGGCGTTCGCGCGCTCGCACGCCTTAGCGTCGATCAAAGCTGTGCATGGGCGTTCTTCGCTTCCAAATTTCCACATACAGTTTACCAGAAGAATTGAAATTTCGTCGCTTGTCACCAACTTCATTTAACGTGGTTGCATATTCCATCAAAAAGCACTACTGGACCAAACTGTGCTCGCGATGCCATCGCGTCGTCTGCTAGCATGGCAGAACCGGTTGTAAATTTTCATTTGGGGTTTCAATTATGGCCTATGGTTGTGCGATGACAAAAAAGTGTTCATGATTAGATGTTGAGAAGTATGATTACTTACAAATAGGTCACTTTTTTATAGTGCAAATCTAGACCGATCGCGTCGAGTATTTATGCATTTATCCCTAATATTGGCCCTAGAAACAGTTTCTGTAGAGAACAGCGCCATGTTGCGATGTCATCACTTACGGGGTCCGTCACAAAAAAAGCTTTATTCCTATGAGGTTTGCTACGTTGGAATGGGCGGTGGTCATACTACTATTTGAGATTTAAAAGGCTAATAATCAATTATTGACCAAGAGGGTATCAGATATCGGACCGAAGCATTCTGCAACTGCATTTCTCTACACAAGAAAGAGAGCAGGCTCTGCTCCGAAACGTCGAATGTGAGATTTTTGCTACTGCGCACAATTTTTTTTTTAGATATTTGAGAGTAAGATATGGCGTGACGTTTATTTGAGATATCATATTACACTTGTTCATAAAGAGGTCAGTGAGCGTCGAGACAGTTGTATTGTTAATTAATAAGGCGACCACAGCATTTAATTCGTCTTATTATTTTAAGTCAAAATAAAAAAGGAATATGCTGGAGCACCATTTTTCCAGATAATTAATATACAAATGATGGAAGCAGCTCAGGAGAATTTATCAATGTTTGTTGTTGCTCCTGCATGTTAAAGCAGTACTTTAATTTTAAAATTTCATAAATAAAACGTTTTTTTTTTTGTATAGGTAGAAACATGTTAAAAATTCGGGACATCACTCAGTCTATGTGTAGATCTTAAAATATGATTCATGTTTTTTTTTATGCAAATGACAAAAAGTGTGCAATGTTGTGCAGTCTTGAACTTATGCACTCGCTTTCTGTCGCAGGTATCAAATGCGATAAAAAAGGGGTCATAAAAACTAGAACAACGCGCTCTAAAACTTTTTGTATTTAAATGTGCAAAGCTGAAGCAGAAAACTAATACTATTTTTTTTTTTTACTCTACAGGTTGCCTCTGCCTGCCTCCGCTGCCATCTTGGCAATTGTCAGTGAAATGGTTGGGGACTGAAATACAAAATAAAACGGTGGAAGTCGCTAGAAACTTGCTGTGCTACGTCTGGAGGGTTCGACATCGAACGTGGCAATTTTATGTTCACGAAGTTTACAACTGGGAAAGTTGATCCGTCGACAGATCCATGGAACCTATGAAACTTAAAAGTAGATGAAATACTTCTATTAATTTTACGCATTACTAATGCAAACAAATTCTAAAACTTGCTGTCTATCAGAAGTCACATTACCAAATTAATGAAAATTTGAGTCACCTTAGGTTTTATTTTATTCTTTCCAAGTTGACATATATCTTACAATAAACTTCGTTTGAATTTAAGTACGACGGCAACCGACGCTTAATGTACATTGCCATGCCCCTCCTAGTCTTCGTGCGCTTGCAAACATCGGGTAGTGCAAACACGCACAGCGAATGTGCTTTAATCTAGCACTCTTTTCTCAACGTAAGTGGCTTTATTCGGTGGGTACCAAACACACAAAGCCGACCACCGCCTTGAGTATGCCCTTTCGGCTCTGCTTAATGAGCTCACTCGGGTGTAAAACAGAGTATAGCAACCCACAGTTTAACGAAGGATTTCGCCTGTTATAAACACGTGTCCTGCTTTGTGATTCGTTTTTGGGTGTTCTTATTGGGGGGGGGGGGGGGGGGAGGCTGATGCAGCAGGTCGTTTTCAGATAAGATTGGCCGACGGTGTGCGCTGACCATTTTTAATTTTTTGACGAAAATAACATATATTGCAAACTGAATGCCCATCAGGAAAAAATCAAAATTTGTTTTCCGAAAAAAAAAAAAAAAGCTTGTCTTTGCGGAAAACAGTTAGAAGCACACTCTCATTGCGAAGCGCTTCTCTCGAGT